TCCTGAGGAGCTGGGATTACAGGTGCCTGCCATCACGTCCAGCTAATTTTTGTATTTTTTAAGTAGAGATGTGGTTTCACCATGTTGGCCAGATTGGTCTCGAACTCCTGACCTCGGGTGATCTGCCCACTTCGGTCTCCCAAAGTGCTGAGATTACAGGTGTGAGCCACTGTGCCCAGCCCAGTGTTTTTCTTTTTAAATAAAATCAACCTAAACTAAGTCTAAGAAATACCAACTAGATCCTAAATCAAGGTCACTTAAAAGATGAAGAACTGATAAATAAATAAGAAAAAATTCCTTACCATTCCCACAGAAGATGAAGAGGCCGAGATGAAAGGATAACATTTTTCTGACAAGTTCACATCATAACAGTGTCTGGGTACCTGGCTTTGTGCTTGCTTTTGCTCAACATTTTAAAGACTCTTAACACAAGAGAAAAATAATAATAAAATAAATAAAAATTTTTAAAAAATGCAAGAGAAAGGGGAAACTTGATTATACCAAAAAAGAAAAAAAAAAAAATCTGCTTAGGAGGAACATTTTTTTGCCTAATACTGTAAAGGCTTGGAGAATTTAGAACGTAAAGCATCTGTTATTGCCGATGGCAGGTTGATGACCTAAGAAGAGAGGGAATTGTAGGCCAGGAATGTTTTGGGCAAAATGGAGACCGTGCGTGGGCACTGGAAAATAAGGCAGACAAATAACAGGCTGCAACAGGATAAACTGCCTTATGAAGTGGCCTTGCCCGGCAACCCCAACCTGCCTGCCCTCAGATGACGGGGAACAGGTCAGTTTTGTTTTTTTGTTTGTTTTTTTCTGTCTTCCAATCATCTGCCCTCATGTTTAGGCAGCAGAGAGACCTAAGTTATAAACACAGCTCTGCCAGGAGCTCTCTTGGCTGAGCACGGCATTTAGAGTATTCTAGTTCTTCCTTGATGTTTTTCACTTTTTTTTTGAGACGGAGTCTCGCTCTGTTGCTCAGGCTGGAGTGCAGTGGCACGATCTTGGCTCACTGCAACCTCTGCTTCCTGGGTTCAAGTGATCCTCTTGCCTCCGCCACCCGAACAGGTGGTACTACAGGCATGGCTACCACACCCAGCTAATTTTAGTCAAGACGGGGTTTCACCATGTTAGCCAGGCTGGTCTCCAACTCCTGATCTCTGGTGATCTGCCTGCCTCAGCCTCCCAAAGTGCTGGGATTACAGGTGTGAGCCACCCTGCCTGGCCTAATAATGAAAATTAATTATAACTGATATTATATTGAAAAATATTCTATCCTAAGGACAGTTAGGATACATTTACTTTTGCGCTGAGTTCGATTCACAGTCTCTTACGGGGAGGAAGATAGAAGGATTCCATGTGCATCTGTGTTTGGGCTGTCAAGTTATCTGTATCTACATAATTATTTGTTTTCCTTTGGCTTCAGAGAAATTTTTGGTGTTACAAGAAATATGTATATCGTGTAAAAACTGTCACTTCTTAAAATGTGTAGTTAATGGCACATGTAAATAAAATGTAATGTTTTGCTGTTAATATTTACTATTGATATATATGTTCAATAATTCCCAAACAATTCTAATATTTAGTATGAATTAATTCTAGTATTTATTGCTACTACTGCTACTATATGTTATGGTTCCATAGCCCATTTTCTGACAGAGCTTTAAAAACAAAACAAACTCCAGTCTGGGCATGGTGGCTCACACCTGTAATCCCAGCACTTTGGGAGGCTGAGGCGGAGGGATCACCTGAGTTTGGGAGTTCGAGACCAGCCTGGGCAACATGGAGAAACCCTGTCTCTACTAAAAATACAAAATTAGCTGGGCAAAGGGGTACATGCCTGTAATCCCAGCTACTTGGGAGGCTGAGGCAGGAGAATTGCTTGAACCCAGGAGGTGGAGGTTGTGGTGAGCCAAGATCACGCCATTGCACTCCAGCTTGGGAAACAAGAGCAGAACTCCATCTAAAAAAGAAAAACAAACAAACCTCCCTATCTGTTCCTCCTTCCAGTTAAATATTGGAGGAAAGCAGAATAGAAATATGATTTTTTAAAGGTAAAGAAGCACAGAGAATCAACATCAAATAGAATAAGTCCATGACATTGTGACTCCAAGCTGGCAAGTTGAGCACATTAGATCAAGTGCAGAGTTTTCCATTCTATTCATGGGGAGAAAGAGGAAGCGAGAGGGGAGGAGTGGGAAGAACTCAGAGGTTACAGTACTGATTCCTTAGGAACCTGGATACACAGAGCTCCTGCAGGCAGTGAGAGCAGTTGCTAGGGTTTTCCCTACCTGTCATTTTTCAGTCCAGGGTGAGATGTTGAAGAAACAGAATCCAAAGGTGCATCACTGTAAAAAATGTTGCCAAAGTGAAAAGCAGGAGTCTGATTTCCTCCTTTTGATTGATTGCAGAGCCATTTGATTTAGGGTGCTTCTGTTTCCTTATTCATCACACAGAGCACTGGGGTGTGGGGAAAATCGCCATCCCACATTGGGGTTGCCACAAAGGAAAAGAGGACTTGGAGCAGAAGTTGGGAGACCTGAGCTTATGATCTTGGATTTACGGCACAGCTGATATTTGGGAGAATAAGGTGTGTTGTTTTTGTTGTTGTTGTTTTTTCCTTTAAAAAAAAAAAAATATATATATATATATATATATATATATATACATTTTTTAAGATGGGGTTTCACCATGTTGGTCAGGCTGGTCTTGAAATCCCGACCTCAGGTGATCCACCCACCTTGGCCTCCAAAGTGCTTGGATTACAGGCGTGAGCCACCACACCCAGCCTGTTTTTTTTTTTTTTTTGAGACGGAGTTTTGCTCTTGTTACCCAGGCTGGAGTGCAATGGCGCCATCTCGGCTCACCGCAACCTCCGCCTCCTGGGTTCAGGCAATTCTCCTGCCTCAGCCTCCTGAGTAGCTGGGATTACAGGCACACGCCACCATGCCCAGCTGAATTTTTGTATTTGTAGTAGAGACGGGGTTTCACCATGTTGACCAGGATGGTCTCGATCTCTTGACCTCGTGATCCACCCGCCTCGGCCTCCCAAAGTGCTGGGATTACAGGCTTGAGCCACCGCGCCCGGCCTGTTTTTTCTTTTTTTGAGACAGAGTCTCACTTTGTTACCCAGGCTGGACTGCAATGGTGAGATCTCTGCTCACTGCAACATCCACCTCCTGGGTTCAAGCGATCCTCCCACCTCAGCCTCCCTAGTAGCTGGGACTACAGGCACATACCACCACAGCCAGCTAATTTTTGTATTTTTAGTACGGGCGGGGGTTTCACCATGTTGGCCAGGCTGGTCTTGAACTCCTGACCTCAAGTGATCCGCCTGCCTCAGCCTCCCAAACTGCTGGGATTACCGGGGTGAGCCACTGTGTCTGCCCCCTTGAGGAATAAGTTCCGCAAGGAGTCAGGAAAACTGAGGATTGAAAAGCAGGTTTTCACAAGAGTGGAGCCAGCTGGCTCTGAGGGTTTCCGGACTAAGGGGATCTGTGCTTGACAGACCACAGACCAGCTTCACTGGGACCATCTTCTCAGCTTTGTGATTTGTTTTTTGAGACAGACTCACATTCTGTCACCCAGGCTGGAGTGCAGTGGTGCAATTTCAGCTCACTGCAACCTCCGCCTCCCAGGTTCAAGTGATTCTCGTGTCTCAGCCTCCTGAGTAGATGGAACTACAGACGCCCGCCATCACCACGCCCAACTAATTTTTCTTTTGTTAAATGTTTTGAGACGGAGTTTTTGCTCTTGTTGCCCAGGCTGGAGTCCAAGGGCGCAATCTCGGGTCACTACAACCCCCACCTCCTGGGTTCAAGCGATTCTTCTGCCTCAGCCTCTAAAGTAGCTGGGATTACAGGCATGCGCCACCACGCCCAGCTAATTTTGTATTTTTAGTAGAGACGGGGGTTTCTCCATGATGGTCAGATAGATCTCGAACTCCCGACCTCAGGTGATCCACCTGCCTTGGCCTCCAAAAGTGTTGGGATTACAGGTGTGAGCCAGTGCGTCCGACCAATATTTATATTTTTAGTAGAGATGAGGTTTTGCCACATTGGCCAGGGTGGTCTGGAACTCCTGATCTCAAGTGATCCACCAGCCTCGGCCTCCCAAAGTACTGGCATTACAGGCGTGAGCCATTGCACCCAGCCTAGCCTTGTGATATTAACAGTAACTGACATTTGTGGTGTGCCGACTGTGTGTCACACTCCTTCCAGTTATTATTCCATTTAGGGTAGAGCAACATTATTCTATTTTGCATGGGAGAAAACTAAGGCCCCAGAGATTAATTTGCCCAAGCACCCAGCTGGACATTGGAAGTGCCAGTTTCTTCGTGTGTTCGCCTGGGGCTTATCAAAGATCGCTTGAGATCGGATGACAGGAACCACAAAGAAGTGAAGCTGGGAATTTGCGGATCCACAGTAAAGCTAGTTTATCTTTTCTTCTAGACGTGCGTTAAGATTCCTTTTTTTTTTTTTCTTGAGACGGAGTTTCGCTCTTGTTACCCAGGCTGGAGTGCAATGGCGCGATCTCGGCTCACCGCAACCTCCGCCTCCTGGGTTCAGGCAATTCTCCTGCCTCAGCCTCCTGAGTAGCTGGGATTACAGGCACGCGCCACCATGCCCAGCTAATTTTTTGTATTTTTAATAGAGACGGGGTTTCACCATGTTGATCAGGATGGTCTCGATCTCTTGACCTCGTGATCCACCCGCCTCGTCCTCCCACAGTGCTGGGATTACAGGCTTGAGCCACCGCGCCCGGCCCCAAGATTCCTTTTTCAAGCGTTCTAAAGCGCAGGCGCAGGCTGTTTTGCGGCGGCCTCCCGGCGCCTCTTGTGCAGGCCACGGTCGCCCTCTGCCGGCAGGAGCGCGCTGAGTGAACGTTTCCGGGCCTGAGGACGGTGGAGATTTTTCTTGCCTATAGAGGGCGCGGTTTGGCGTGCAGAGTAACCCTCTCTAGCCGTTCCTTCCTTAAGCACTTCCTGTCTGATCTCTATGACCCATGCAATTGCGCCTTGATTAGTTCCTTAAGTTTTCAATTTACCGTAAACAAAGGCGACGCGCGTCGACCTGGAAGTGAAAGCCGGAACCCGGCCGGAGTAGCTCCGCGCACCGGCTCTGAGGAAGGAGGTCCGGGGCAAGCTGCAGCCATGGCTGTGGCTGTAGCCATGGCGGGATCCATAATCGGGTCGGAGCCAGGCCCCGCGGAAGAACTTGCCAAACTTGAGTACCTGTCTTTGGTGTCGAAGGTTTGCACTGAGCTGGACAATCACTTGGGGATCAACGACAAGGACTTAGGTGAGCCCTGGGAGGTCCCTGTGGCCTCAGTTTGGGATTGAGGGAAGCGGAAGGAGAAAGAAAGGTGGTTGATGGACCGAAAATATGTTCGTGTGAGTCTGTGGAGGCAGCTGGCTCTGAGGGTTTCCAAACTAAGGGGATCTGTGCTTGACAGACCACAGACCAGACCCGGGCGCAGGGAACCGCTGCCGTGGCCTCGGCTTGAGAGCCCTCGAGAAACTTTAGAAACTTTCCCAGAGCTGTCGGTGAAGCCCGGGGCGGTCAACTCTGCTTGTTTTTGTTGTTGTTGTTGTTTTTTGTTTTTTTCCCAGCCTCAAACATCTTTAACAACAGCAGCAGGTGCTGCGATGACGATAATGTAGGCTGACGTTTATTGGGTGCTCACTGTGTGCCAGATGTGATGATGCTCAGCTCTTTATTGACATCTTTTTTAGTCTTCATGCCTGTCTGTGACATAGTACTAGTCTGTGTTCTTGACCGTTCTTTCTGTACTCTTTTTTGAGACAGGGTCTCGCTCTGTTGCCCAGGCTGAGGTGCAGTGGCACGATCTCAGCTCACTGCAGCCACGACCTCCGGGGCTCAAGCAATCCTCCCACCTCAGCCTCCCGGGTAGCTGGGACTACAGGCATGCCCCACCAAGCTTGGCTAATTTTTAAATTTTTTGTAGAGACGGGGGTCTCACTATATTGCCCAGGTTGGTCTCGAACATCAGGGCTCAAGCAGTCCTCTTGCCTCGGCTTCCCAAAGTGCTGGGATTATAGGTGTGAGCCACTGCGTCCTGTACTATGTCTTAAACACCAGTCACTATTCGGGGCAAACTACATCTGGGGAACCCAAACTGAGGAATTAGAAAATGCTAGGGTCCTAGATCTAAGGCCATAGACAGACAGAGCCATTATGAAGGTAAAAGGGGATGGATGGGATAAAGGGCAACCAATGGAGGGATTGACCTTTGATAGTACAGGAGTGCTTCCTCAGTTGTAACAGGAGTGAGGACAGAGAATATAGTTGCAGATTTAGGGGAGTTTAGATACTGGCGGTAGGAAGATGAGTGAGAGAGTTCCAGTCCAGTCTTTAGTTTTCTAAATGAAGATGAAGTCATCAATTGGAGGGATAGAAGGGAAGGGGCAGGTGACAGGAGGGGGTTAGGGAAGTTAGATGAGTGACCTTTGGTAAGATTCATAGTTTCTCTGAAGCTGTTTTTCTCATCTGTGAAGTAGGACAGTGTCGTCACAGGGTCACCATGTAGCACTTAGGAAGATGCCCAGCAGCCAGTATATTTTAGTTCACTTTTCTCTTGCCTCCCAGTCAAGATGTGTCTGTTTTTTTTTTTTGAGACGGAGTTTCGCTCTTGTTACCCAGGCTGGAGTGCAATGGCGCAATCTCGGCTGACTGCAAGCCCCGCCTCCTGGGTTCAGGCAATTCTCCTGCCTCAACCTCCCAAGTAGCCTGGATTACAGGCACGTGCCACCATGCCCAGCTAATGTTTTGTATTTTTAGTAGAGACGGGGTTTCACTCTGTTGACCAGGATGGTCTCGATCTCTTGACCTCGTGATCCACCCGCCTCGTCCTCCCAAAGTGCTGGGATTACAGGCTTGAGCCACCGCGCCCGGCTGTCCTGTATATTTTTTCCTCGGTATTCTCCTTTAGTTGATAATGAGGTGTTCATTTTGTCGGTTTTGCTATCTCATTAATATGTTTCCTTTATTGAGCAAACATTGAACTAGGGGGCTAGGAATACCACAGAGAACAAGACAGATTTCTGCTTTCAGGGAGCTTACCTGTCTCTGTTTTAGTTTTAACTCCTAATACGTTGGCCTTTTAGAGGAAACAAAAAAGTTACTGACATCTTCCGGTATTTAATTGTTTTGATGTTAACTTCATTTATGTACAAAAAATAGAGCAAGGTATAAACTCTGTTTTTTTTTTTTTTTTTTTGAGATGGAGTTTTGCTTTTGTTGCCTAGGCAATGAGTTATCTAGATCTTTCATGAGTTAGTTATCTAGATCTTTCATGTTATTTATTTATTTATTTATTTAGGCTTAGCATTCAAATGAAAGCACTACAATTTTTTTGTAGGATTCATAGTATGAGGTGTATTATCTCAGTCTATGGTAAAATGCACTTCTTTTCTTTCTTTTTTTCTTTTTTTTTTTTTGCACACCCCTGCCCCCCCACCACAATGCACTTCTTTTCTGAAAGTCTTTTTTTTTGAGACAAAGTCTCACTTTGTCACCCAGGCTGGAGTTCTGTGGTGCTGTCATGCCTCACTGCACCCTTGGCCTCTTGGGCTTAAGCCATCCTCCCACCTCAGCCTCCCGAGTAGCTGGGATTACAGACGCACGCCACCACCCCTGGCTGATTTTTGTATTTTTTGTAGAGATGGGGTTTTGCCATGTTGCCCAGGCTGGTTTGAACTCCTGGGCTCATGCAGTCTCCCCACCATGGCCTCCCAAACTGCTGGGATTACAGGTTTGAGCCTGTGGCTTAATTAATAAATAGCTCTAATATTAGAAGTTTCAGGAACTAGCCTGGGAGCAGTGGCTCATGCCTGTAATCCCAGCACTTTGGGAGGCTGAGGCTGGAGGATTACCTGAGGTCAGGAGTTCAAGACCAGCCTGGCCAACATGGTGAAACCCTGTCTCTACTAAAAATACAAAAATTAGCCAGGCATGGTGGCAGGCACCTGTAATCCCAACTACTCGGGAGGCTGAGGCAGGAGAATTGCTTGAACCTGAGAGATGGAGGTTGCAGTGAGCTGAGATCGCGCCACTGCACTCCAGCCAAAGTGAGACTGTCTCAAAAAAAGAAAAAAAAATGTTTCAAGAACTAGGCAGATTTGTTTAGAAAAATTTGGGGAACAAGTTAGTCTTTCATCAGTGTGGAGATTGTACCACCTAGCAGCTGCCTGGCCCTCATATACAGATTGGGTCTGTCTTTCTGTTGTGTGCCTCTCTGTGTCTCTGTGTGCATGCACGGGCTCATGCTTTTTATTGTCACCTTTAGAGTCTAGTCTAGGTGCCATCGTGCCCAGGTAGTAGTGTTGGGAGAAGAGGGTACGATAATGTGGGGCAAATAGTTGTTCTTAGTTTAAATACACTCAGGGGCTACATGGAGCCATTTTGTAGTAATATCTTTCATTTGTATAAATTCACTAGAACATGTGGATAATCTCAGCAGTCTAGATTGTCTTTCTTTACTCTTATCAGATGGTGGTCTTTGGTTTTTATGACTGTTGGATAACCTAATTAGTTCTGTTTTCAACATACTTGCAACTGATTTCTTGCTCATGTCTCCCTTTTCTGAATTCTGTTTCTTATTTGAAGCTGAATTTGTGATCAGTCTTGCTGAGAAAAATACCACCTTTGATACTTTTAAGGCTTCTCTCGTCAAAAATGGTGCAGAATTTACGGTATGTATACCTGGAGAAGGCAATCTGTAGATATTAATGTTTTAATGTCACTATCGAATTTAAGTTTTGATAGGATTTATATAGGATTTTGATATAGGAAGGAGACAATTTTACACATATCAATTAAGTAAACCATTAAATGTGTAATGTTTTCATGCCATTAAGCAGTGGTGATGTAAACAGATTTTCTATAATACCTATCTAGGAAAACAGGGCAAGATTTTCATCATTAAGTTTTTGTAGGTATTTACATTCATATTCTGTGAGTCAGGAAGTTGGAAACGAGTCTTGGGGGTAGTTCTAAACCATGGGAAATAAAATGATGGCAGGGAGCCTAATAACTTTTATCCTCAAAGAGTACTAAGTATTGGCTTTCTCTGAAGCTGCTATACTAGGTTCATGCTACACCAGGTTGACACTCTGTTTCCTTTATTGCAATTAGCTAAATTCAAGTGCATAACAACCCTTCCCTAAAGGACATTCTTTGCATTTTCCTTTTAGAAGTGTATTTAAGCACTGATCCAGGAGTTGACAATTTTTGTTCTATGTTTCTTTTCAAAGGATTCTCTTATTAGTAACTTGCTGCGTCTCATACAAACCATGCGACCTCCAGCGAAGCCTTCCACTAGCAAAGGTAAGCAGAGCTTCCAACTGAGCTGAGCTTCTAGAGTGGTGTAGATTCTGAGCAGCCTGTAAATTGTATTTGTTTTCCTCTCAGCAGTTGCTGAGCAAGTAAATATTCTAGTAAGATTTTTAAAATGGACTGGGCGTAGTGGCTCACTGCTGGCCCAGCACTTTGGGAAGCCAAGGTGGGAGGATTACTTGAGACCAGGAGTTTAAGAGCAGCCTGGGCAACATAGAAAGACCTGGTCTCTACAAAAAAATAAAAAAATTATCCAGGCGTGATGGCACACCTCTGTAGTTCCAGCTACCTGGGAGGCCAAGGCAGGAGTGTCGCTTGAGCCCAAAAAGGCAAAGCTGCAGTGAGCCATAGTTGCACCACTGTACTCCAGCCTGAGTGACAGAGTGTCCGTCCTTCCCCCGCCGCCCCCTTTCAAGAGGAAAAAAATTTCAAATGACTTAAGAAGACAAAATCAAAATGATAAGATATAACCAAATGAGTATTGCTACACTCCTCTCTCTGCTCCATTTCCAGATAGTTTGTTGTCAATGTTTTTAGAAAATTAAATTACATTTGTAGTAAGGGGTATGATGAATATGTAGCAAAATGCAATGTTCTGTTTTTAGTTTGATACAAATGTAACATTGAAGTTATTTTGTTAACCATTAATAATATTAAACATGTCTTTTTTTTAAATCCCTTCATGCTCTTTAATGAAATAAGATCCAGTTGTTAAACCTAAAACGGAAAAAGAAAAGCTGAAGGAACTCTTCCCAGTCCTTTGCCAACCGGACAACCCTTCTGTTCGGGTACTGATGCCATTTTGAGAATGTCTACTATAAATGTGTATTCCCATCCCTTTTTCTTTGTCTCATTAGTAATTTTATTAATTTTAAGTTTGCCGTTGTAACTTATTTTTCAGAAAGTGTTTGATCCCTCCCTGAGCATGTACTATGTATTGAACATGTTAAGGGGTTCTGAGAATGATATTTAAGGGAAACGAGATTGGGAATTTGGGGAAGTAGTGATTGGGATATGAAATAAGGTTCTGGAACAGATGCCTGATGTGTGCAATTAGATTTTTTTTGCCCTGTTCCTTGCTAAAGGTCTAATTTTAAAAGCATTTTGGTTTTTAAATTGCATTTGAACAAATATTTATTAGGCACTTACTTACTGTATGCCAAACACTGTTCTAAGTGCCTGGGTAACAGCAGTGAACAGAACCGACAAGAGTTTCTGCCTTTGGAGATTATATGCTGGTTTTAGGGTAGGAAGCAGGAAATAAACATGTAAACATTCAGGTGGGGAGGAGATATGCAATAAACAAACAAGTATATAACATAGCAGATAGCAATAAGGGCTACAAAAAAAATAAAGCTGGAGTCGGGGGAGGGAAAAAGAGAGTGTAGAGGGAAAGTTGCTTTTTTTTTTTTCCTGTGCCTCCCTCAAAAGAGAGTTGCTTTTTAAATTTTCTAATATCTGTTTTCTATTTATAATCATCACTTGCGTTCTTTTATGGCAGAGATGATTAATATCTAACTGCCTTTTGAAGAATCGCGTGAACGAGGCTGAGGTTTCAGTGAGCCAAGATCGCACCACTGCTCTCCAGCCTGGGTGACAGAGTGAGACTTCATCTCAAAAAAAGAAAAAAAATCGAACTGCCTTTCATAGAATTGTATTAAGGACAAAGGGGATTTGTCAAATGTAGCAGTGATTCTCAAGAGCCTTTGTCCATTTCTTCTGCATCTATCTCAAATCAAGCGGGAAATCTCTGTCCGTCTTCTGTTTCCCTCACATAGTGGCTAGTGATTTGTGGATGTACCTGAAGTACATATAGATTCTTGAGTGGTTTTCTTCCTTCTCCTCTACCTGTGCAGACCATGTTGGATGAAGATGATGTGAAAGTTGCTGTGGATGTCCTGAAAGAATTGGAAGCTTTAATGCCCAGCGCAGCAGGCCAGGAGAAGCAAAGAGACACTGAGCACCGGTTTGTCCTTACTGTCCTGTCCTTTGGAAGTTTAGGATACTGTGACAGTTGAATTTTGTGGACCAGCCAAGCAAAATTGTGGGCAAGTTTACAGAATCTGAGCTGGTCATATATCATATTGTTGGATCTGTTTTTATTGCTCCCTGCTAAGAGTATGTAGCAAATACTAGGATGTTCAGAAGAGAGAAATCAGGGTTCAAAGAGGCCAAATATGTTTGTGGCTTGATTCTTTATTGGTCTCTAGGGGTGCCATAGTTACTGAAACACTAATTCAGTTCAACACCTAGTGGGCACCTACTGTGTACATGACACTGTACTGGGTGCTTGGGGATGCAAAGATGAAGCTGGATTGGTTTTTTCTTTTTTAAACAGGTGATTATTGATTTGTTAGGGACAGGACAAAGAAGAAGAAGCGGAGTCGAAGCCGAGATCGAGACCGAGATCGGGAACGAAATCGAGATAGAGACCACAAGCGGAGACACCGATCCCGCTCGCGATCACGCTCCAGGGCCCGGGAGAGGAACAAAGTCAAGTCTAGACACCGGTCCAGGAGCAGGAGTCAGAGTCCCCCCAAAGACCGGAAGGACCGGGACAAATACGGAGAGAGGAATCTGGATAGATGGCGGGATAAGCATGTGGACCGCCCTCCTCCAGAAGAGCCCACCATTGGGGACATTTATAATGGCAAAGTTACCAGCATCATGCAGTTTGGTTGCTTTGTGCAGCTGGAAGGACTAAGGTAATGGCTGGTGCTCTTCTGTTCACACCAGTGATGGGCAGAAATTCTTTTATCACTGAGGATTTTCACATTCTAAAAAGTTATTTTGATTAATGACAGTTTAGAAATTGACTCTTTTGAAATGTTAACATTTATTCGTTTCTCTGTCTTCAGGAGATCTGTCCTTTGCTTGTTGGGACAAGTAGAATTTCCCTCTGTACCCCATGTCTCCCCTTGGGGAGAGTGATAATACTATTTTATTGTTTGACCACCTTCATGGTACTTTTCTCTTGAGGTCAAGACCATTTTCTTTTATTAGTTCCAACAAGGGTAGAAACTGGTTGGGGGAAAAGTATTTTTTGGTATGTTTCAGATGTGTGACTCTCCCTTAGGAAGCGGTGGGAAGGCCTGGTGCACATCTCTGAGCTCCGACGGGAAGGTCGTGTGGCCAACGTAGCTGATGTGGTGAGCAAAGGCCAGAGGGTCAAAGTCAAAGTGCTGTCCTTCACTGGGACCAAGACCAGCCTGAGCATGAAGGTAGGTGAGATGGTCAGCCTGTTCTTACATCTGATGGCCAAGGGAATGGAAGAGGACAGCAAGTGAGCTAGCTCCCTTGTTTTTGTGCCTTAGGATGTGGATCAAGAGACTGGAGAAGATCTAAACCCAAACAGACGACGGAATCTTGTTGGGGAGACCAATGAGGAGACCTCAATGCGGAATCCTGATAGACCCACTCACCTGTCCCTTGTCAGTGCCCCTGAAGTAGAGGATGACTCACTAGAACGCAAGCGCCTCACCCGAATCTCTGATCCAGAGAAGTGGGAGATCAAACAGGTTGGGGCCCTTAGCTTTCATGGCCAGATAGTCATTCAGCATGTAGCATGGTGCTTAGGGGTGTGTGCCTTGGAGCACGATGGCCTGGGATGACTTTTGGCCACTGTATTAGTCTGTTTTCACACTGCTGATAAAGACATACCTGAGACTGGGCAATTTACTAAAGAGTTTTATTGGATTTAAAACTCCCCGTGGCTGGGGAGGCCTCACAATCATGGAGGAAGGTGAAAAGCATGTCTCACATGGCAGCAGACAAGAGAAGAGAGCTTGTGCGGGGAAACTCCCCCTTTTTAAAACCATCAGATCTCATGAGACCTATCCACTAACATGAGAACAGTTAGTGGAAAGAGCTGCCCCATGATTCAGTTACCTCTCACTGGGTCCCTCCCATAACACATGGAAATTCAAGATGAGATTTGGGTGGGGATACAGCCAAACCTTGTCAGCCATTTACTAGCTGTGTAATCCTTAACTAAGCTACTCTACCTCGTTGGGCCTCAGTACCCTCATCTATAAAACACGACCAGTGTTGGTGGTGTGAAGATTAAATGAGTAGTTAAAAGAGGTGAAACACTTAGGCTAGTGCCTGGCATATGGTAATTGCTATGTAAGTCTTCATTACTGTTTTTATCTTTCTTCGCTAAATGTCATAACCATGGTATGTCAAGTACCATGCAGAGCTAGGGCTATAAAGACGAATATATCATGGTTCCTATGCTTAAGGAACTAAAGTCCAGCAGAGGAGACAGATCTAAACAAATAATTGTGAGCGGTTACATATATATTTTTTTATTTTTATTTTTGAGACAAGGTCTTGCTTGCTCTGCTGCCCAGGCTGTAATGCAGTGGCATGACCATGGCCCCCTGCAGCCTCAACCTTCCAGGTTCAAACTATCCTCCCACCTCAGCCTCCCAAGTAGCTGCAACCCCAGGCACATGCCACCATGCCGGCTAATTTTTAAATTTTTTGCAGAGACAGTCTTACTGTTACCAGGGCTGGTCTCAAACTCCTGGGCTCCAAGTGATCCTCTTGTCTCAGCCTCCCAAAATGTTGAGATTACAGGCATGAGCTGCCATGTCTGGCCTACATGTTACATAATAAGAAATGTACCAGAGTGCTGTGGAAAGAAGGGAAAGAGCAGATAACTTCCTGGGGGTGACACTTTTGAGCTTATACTTTTCAGCACTATGTTGGAGAACCACTCCCGCAACCCTGGAATGGGATGGATGACATTTGAAGTCCTGACATCGTGGGTCAGAGGAGAAAAAGATTGGGTTTCCAGCCGGGCACGGTGGCTCATGCCTGTACTCCCAGCACTTTGGGAGGCCAAGGTGGGCAGATCACGAGGTCCAGAGATTGAGACCATCCTGGCCAACATGGTGAAACCCCATCTCTGCTAAAATAAAAAAAATTAGCTGGGCGTAGTGTTGCGTGCCTGTAGTCACAGCTACTCGGGAGGCTGAGGCAGGGGAAGTGCTCGAACCAGTAGGCGAAGGTTGCACTGAGCCTAGATTGTGCCACTGCACTCCAGCCTGGCGATAGAGCAAGACTCCGTCTCAAAAAAAAAAAAAAAAAAAAAAAAATTGGGTTTCCTATATGAAACCTCTGTAATTAACTCTCCTAGAAAAGAAGAGTTTTGGCTGGGCATGTGACTCACGCCTGTAATCCCAGCACTTTGGGAAGCCAAGGCAGGAGGATTGCTTGAGGCCAGCAGTTTGAGACCACCCTGGGCAAATAGTGAGACCCTGTTGCTAGAACAAATTTAAAAGTTAGCCAGGTATTGTAGTGTGCACTGGTAGTCTCAGCTATTCAGGAGAATGAGGCAGCAGAATTGCTTGAGCCCAGGAGTTTGAGGTTGCAGTGAGCTTTGATCAGGCCACCGCACTTCAACGTAGGTGACAGAGCAAAATCCTATTCCAAAAAAATAAAACCAAAAACAATGAAAAAAGTTTTGATATTAGCAGATTACAAATGCTGCCTTCTCTTCTTTGGCTAGATGATTGCTGCCAATGTCCTTTCCAAGGAAGAGTTTCCAGACTTCGATGAAGAGACTGGCATTCTCCCTAAGGTGGATGATGAAGAAGGTAACTAGTCAGTTGGATTGAGAAAGATAATTGGCAAGTTGAGCCATTGTATTTTGTGATTTGCTTGTAGTTTAGTGGCTATTAATCATTTGTTCTTTGGGTCTCACTACTTATCTCTCAAAAAAAAAAAAAAAGGATCTCACCACCATGGAAGCAAGAAATTCATTTTTCTGACAAATGCTTATGTATTATTATATTTGTTGCTTCTGCTAAGCTCTCAGGGCCAGGCATGGTGGCTCACGCCTGTACTCTCAGCACATTGGGAGGCTGAGGCGGGCAGATCACCTGAGGTGGGCAGATCACCTGAGGTCAGGAGTTTGAAACCAGTCTGGCCAACATGGTGAAACCCTGTCTCTACTAAAAATACAAAAATTAGCTGGGCATGGTGCTAGGTGCCTGTAAACCCAGCTACTCAGGAGGCGAAGGCAGGAGAATTGCTTGAACCTGGGAGATGGAGGTTGCAGTGAGCCGAGATTGCACCACTGCGCTCCAACATGGGTGACAGAGTGAGACTCTGTCTCAAAACAAAAACAAAAACAAAAAGCTTTCAGGATATAAAAAGTTAAAATTGTATTTTTGAGAGTAAATTTGATCTCATATTCTTAGTAATTATTCTGAAAACCCTGGATTCATGTAGGTAACTTTTTGAGTTGCCCTGGAAACAACTTTTAACTCAGCCCATAATGACTTTTTTGAAATTATGAAATCTAATTATAGAATTCTATAATTTATATTATAATAGTGAGTACCTATGAACCCATCACCCAGGTTAAGAAGTAGAATTTTGGAAGCACCTCTGAATCCCCTCCATGCTCCCCTCTGCTTACATCTTCTTTCTCCCTTCTCGGAGTGACCACCATCCCAAATTTGTGTTAATCGCTCCCTTGCTTTTCTTTAGAGTTTTACCATCTACGTATCTATCCCTAAACATTATATTGTGTGGTCTATTTTTGAACTTAACTCATATTTCTTTTTTTTGACGTATATATTTTTGATATTTATCTGTTATTGGTATTTCACTCGTTTCCATTGTTATAGAGTGTTTTTATACATAAATTGTCTGTAATTTATCCATTTTACTTTTGGTAGACATATGAGTTGTTTCTTGGCTTTTTGTTAATCTTTGTGAATAATAGTATTTTGAAATTGCTATATTGTCTCTCAGTGCTTATGTGCAAAACGTCCTTTTTTTGCGAAATAATGTAGAATTACTGGCAAGGCCAAGTGTCATGGCTCACCCCTATAATCCTAACACTTTGGGAAGCTGACTGAGATGACAGGATTGCATGAGCCTAGAAGTTTGAGAGCAGCCCTGGCAACATAGCCTGGCCTTATCTTTACAAAAATAATAATAATAAAAAATTAGCCAGGTGTAGTGATACGTGCCTGTACTCCCAGTACTAGAGAGGCTGAAGAGAGAGGATTGCTTGAGCCTGGGAGGTCAAAGGTACAGTGAGCTGTTGTCCTGCCACTGTGCTGCAGCCTGGGCAATGGAGCAAGACCCTGTCCTTTTTTTTTTTTTTTTTTGAGACGGAGTTTCGCTCTTGTTACCCAGGCTGGAGTGCAATGGTGCGATCTTGGCTCACCGCAACCTCCGTCTCCTGGGTTCAGGCAATTCTCCTGCCTCAGCCTCCTGAGTAGCTGGGATTACAGGCACGCGCCACCATGCCCAGCTAATTTTTTGTATTTTTAGTAGAGACGGGGTTTCACCATGTTGACCAGGATGGTCTCGATCTCTTGACCTTGTGATCCACCCGCCTCGGCCTCCCAAAGTGCTGGGATTACAGGCTTGAGCCACCGCGCCCGGCCGACCCTGTCCTTTTTTAAAAAAAATTACTGGGTAGTGAGAAATGTGTGTGTTTGACTCTACTGGGCAGTTCCAAATTGTTTGCTATTGGTTTCTGTACGGTTTATACTTTTGCCATAAGCTTAAGCAAATGCCATTTGGTGTTATTCAATTGTCCAACTAATTTTTTGCAAATTTATTATGGGTTAAGGATTATTCCATAATGAAGTTGGATGGCAAATGCCTTAGTACCATTTAGAATGTCAGGAGAGCATTTTATCACAGGCTTAACTTCTTTTGAAAGTAGGTCCGGGTTGGGTGCAGTGGCTTACACCTGTAATCCCAGCACTTTGGGAGGCCAAGGTGGGCGAATCACCTGAGGTTGGGAGTTTGAGACCAGCCTGACCAACGTGGAGAAACCCTGTCTGTACTAAAAAAATACAAAATTAGCCGAGCATGGTAGCCCATGCCTGTAATCCCAGCTACTCGAGAGGCTGAAGCAGGAGAATTGCTTGAATTCAGGAGGCAGAGGTTGCGGTGAGCCAAGATCACGCCATTGCACTCCAGCCTGGGCAACAAGAGTGAAACTGTCTCAAAAAAAAAAAGGAAAGAAAGTAGGGATGATCAATTCTTGGCCTGGAGCACAAATGCCCTAGAAATGGCTGGTGGTGGTGGGGAATGGTCACTTGGGTTGGAATTTTACTTGCATTGCTGTTTTTTTGACCCGGGAAGCTTTCTTTTTGAGATGGAGTTTTATTCTTGTTGCCCAGGTTAGAGTACAGTGGTGCGGTCTTGGCTCACTGCGACCTCTGCCTCCTGGATTCAAGTGATCCTCCTGCCTCAGCCTCCTGAGTAGCTGGGATTGCAGGCACCCGCCACCATGCCTGGCTAATTTTTTTGTATTTTTAGTAGAGATGGGGTTTCACCATGTTGGCCAGGCTGGTCTGGATCTCCTGACTTCAGGTTATCCACCCACCTTGGCCTCCCAAAGTGCTGGGATTACAGGTGAGAGCCACCACACCCAGCATTTTTGTTTGTTTTTGAGATGGAGTCTTGCTCTGTCATCCAGGTTGGAACGCAGTGTCGCAATCTAGGCTCACTGCAACCTCTGCCTCCCAGGTTCAAGCGATTCTCCTGCTTCAACCTCCTGAGTAGCTGTGATTACAGGCACGTGTCACCATGCTCGGCTTATTTTTGTATTTTTAGTAGAGACGGGTTTCACCATGTTGGTCTGGCTGGTCTCGAATCCTGACCTCGTGATCTGTCCTCCTCAGCCTCCCAGAGTGCTGGGATTACAAGTGTGAACCACGGCACCCGGAATTTTTTTTTTTTTTTTTTTTTTTTTGTGAGACGGAGTTTCGCTCTTGTT